ACACGGTCTGCATCTCTGTCGGATGCAGACCGCATAGCTGCTTCTGTGGCGGCTCGGATTCCTTTCGGCCGGCGTCTTCGCTGAACGCTGGCCGAAAGGATTAATTAGTGGAATATGAAGACTGTGGATTTTGTTGTGTTGTGGGGGTGCTGGGAATTATAACATTTTATATATATATGTTTCGAGGCGGCTTCCTGGCCAATCAGGGAGCCAGGCGGGAAGTAATGACCTACCTACCTCCCTGATTTGCTGGGGAAGCAGACTCCATGTTGATTGACTGAAAAGCCCACTTCCCAGCCAATCAGCAAGAAGCAGGCTGTTCGGTCTGCTCGATGCCGATTGGCCGGGAAGCCAGCTTCCCAGCCAATCAGCATGGAGTCGGCGTCCCGGCTAATCAGGAAGCCGGGTCATTACTCGCCTCCCGGCTTCCTGATTGCCCGGAAAGCTGGCTCAATGTTCCCCTATGGCACCGATTTCGGTATCGGGTGAGGGTATAGAAGCATTTAAGCGAGTACGAGCACTCACCAAAATACTCGGTATCGGCACTGATACTAGTTTCGGTATCGGTGCATCCCTAGTTTTAAATAATGAATAAAAGCTGATCATTGTAGGCACCCCTGTCAGTGTTAAATGGTTTGGCCCAACCTTCTAGCTGACACTTTTGTTGACCTGGTAAAGGACATTAAAAATATGGCATTACTGACCGGATAACCAGGTGAAAATAAAGGGGGAAAAAGTCTTAAAAAAAAGAATGAATGCAGCCAGCACATCTAAGAATTGGCAAGCTGCAATATATTAAATGGGTTTAGATACACTTTAGTTTGTTGTAGTGCAGAAAATTTACAACAGAGGGTGATACAATTCCACCATAGAGAATTAGAGGATTTCCCGAAGATGAAAAAGAAATTGGTATCCACGGATGTAATCACATATTCTCAGTACATAGCATGTACCAAGAAAAAGATACTCAAAATAATTTTTATCTCAATTCTTAAAAAAGAATAAAACCCAAATAATTTTTTGATGTAGTTCAATGTTTTAAATGGGGTTTCTAATTTCTCATGCACAGGGGCACTGGCCTAATTAAATACTCATTTTAACCCTGAATGTTGCTGGCAAAATCTGGCAGAAAGATTCAGCGTGAAAAATGCATGTAATGGCATTGTAAATACTTGCAGTTATGTGTGTACAGTGTGTAAAAATGTAAACTCATTCCAGTGACTACAATATTAACTTAGTGTAGCCAATAAAATAAATGTACATATTGTGCCATTGCGTGGCAATACCACGGTGTTGGGTGGCCTCAAAGTCACCCAGGGTTCTCAGCCAGAGGGGCTGAGTTGGACCAGGAAGACATGACTTGTACCAGGAAAGAACTGCTTTTTCAGTCCTTTCCGGGTTTTCTGGATCACAGTTGGGATCCTGGAGCCAGGAGATTTCTTAGAACTCTGGGTGGGAGGAAATCTCCATTCCTGGGTCCATGCTTTGGTAGTAACCAACACCTAATTGTGCACCTGTGCACATCCCTCATGAAGAGTGTGCTGGGATGTGTTCAGGGCCCACCTTGGAGACAGGAGAACTCCACCCAGGAGTCAGTGTGGAGGCCAGTGCAGCAGGTTTGTGAAGCCTATGGTGAGGATTGGCACGTGATTGAGGTTGTCTGGGGGAATCGGACAGTGGCCCTGAAGATTGAGGCCAAAGCAGCACTGCTGCAAGAGAAACTATTAAAAGACTGGGACACAGTTAGTGTATGGAACAACTTGGTGATTGGTGAGCCAATATATATATTCTGCTGAAGACAAGCTATTGTATGTTGAGCTTCCTTGAGTATCTGCTGTTGAAATACCAATAAATACTTTTCGTTCATGGAAAAACGCTGTGCGAGTGCTCTGTGAGCTCCCCAACATCACAGTATTATTTTTTGATGTGTAAGGGGGGGTGTATTATTTTATATGTACAAGGGTAGTATTTTTTTTATGTGTGTGGGGGGAGGGGAGTAGAAGTGTACTAGTCTCCATTCACACCTGTATCTTTAGGTGCAATTAGGGATTTCTGCATCAGGAACATGCGTTTCCTGCAGCAGGAATCCCTAATCTGGTGTTCTAAAAGCGGCAGCTGTCACCTATTCAAGTTAATAATCAGGAGACAGCAGTTGCATGTAAACGCCTGCCCACTGCATGTAATGATACGCGATATGATTACATTCGGTTAGGAATCAATCACTCTCCTTGGACGCAATGATTGTGCATTCAGGGAGAGTGTTTTCTAACCACATGTAATAATATCACATACCGTTACATGCGGTGTGCAGGTGTTTACATGCAACTGCTGTCACCTAATCATTAACTTGAATAGGTGACAGCTGCCGCTTTTAAACGACAGATTAGGGATTCCTTCTGCAGGAAAACACAAGTTTCTGACACAGAAATCCCTAATCGCACCTAATCCTACAGATGTGAATGGGACCTGATTGTGTGTATATTGTAGGGATGCACCGATACTGGTATTTCGGTATCGAGTAACTATATTTTTTTCGGTACTTGCCGAATACCGAGTACTGGAAGTCACATTCAGGAAGCCAGGCGGCGTGTAATGACTCGCCACCTGGCTTCCTGATTAGTCAGGAAGCCGGGCAGCATGTAAATTCTCGCCACCCGGCTTCCCGATTGGCCAGCTTCCCGTCACTAGTGAAAAGGGAGCATGGAGCCGGCTTCCCGGCCAATCAGGATGCCGGGCAGCGTGTAATGACGCGCTGCCCGGCTTCCTGATACAGGGAAGTGTCGGGCTAGGCATCGGAGCGTTTGGGCGAGTACTCGTACTCGCCCAAATACTCGGCACCGATACCAATACTAGTATCGGTATCGGTGCATCCCTAGTATATTGGGGTCCGTAGTACCAAACAGGATATAGTTAAATTTTATTTTAAGATATGCAATTTGGCAAGCGGCCCCCATGGGTGAAATTTTTTTTTTAAGTGGCCCCCCAGTGAATTGAGTTTGAGACCCCTGAAGTATATGTTGGTAGATTGTCATTACTAAACATTTCTAAAGGTGTGGTTTTTAAAACAAAGTAGTAGTTGCCCTTTTACTCAGGCAGTATTTTATCTCTTGTGTCATCTGTTATCATGTCAGGAATGTCTCACTTGAACTTTGGTTCATCTTATAGAGAATCCAGGAGCTAGTTCTTCTGTTTCCAACTCTTGAATCCCAGAGAGGGATGGTCTGACAGGTCAATGTTTATTAAATGTTCTTTGTAATAGCAATTGGTTTCCATCCTAATTTCTGCTGTTAGCTTAAATTCATTGAAATCTACCTAAGCTTTTTGGTACATGGTAGTAGAAGCAGAGAGCAAAGTTACCTTAGCAGAATTCTGACCATAAAAGGGTAAACATAATTTTGTCCTTTTTAATTGTTTTTTTTTTCTTTTTCATTTCTTCAGTGTTAACGCAGTAAAATTGTGCTTAATATTTAGGATTTGGGAAAGGATTGCCAAGTGTTTGCTGTGATAAATAGAAATGGAATTGTATTTGTGATTTAGTGCAAAGTACTGTCACATGTATCATTTGTTGAGATTGTCTAACTGCCCTAAACTAGTAAAAGCGGATTATAGTTAGCTGCATGCTACTGTTCTGTGTAATATTATGAAAGTTATTATTTGAGGTTTAATTTCTTCTAGGAAAGAGACAAACGTCTCTCAGCCATCCAGCAACAACAGCTGCACCAGCACTGGATCAAGTTTACTATTACCCTTAAGTGTAAACTCTCCAAGTTCTCCATCACCAATCTTCAGTGACCCTAAACCCAATCAGCCACTTCTTAACGGCCCACCTCAGTTTAGTTCTACGTCGGAGATAAAGGTGAAAAAACCTGCAATACTTATGTGAAATTTGTCTTTTTTTTTTTTTTTTATACTTACTAAAATTCTTAAGGGTATTTTATAAAAACTGGAGCAGAAAGAATCTGGATCAGCTTCTATCTTTTCTTTTGAAAGCATAAGTAAACAAACTAAAGAGAGAAGCTGGTTACTATGGGCAGCTGCTCCAGATTCTGTCTGCTCCAGTTTTGATAAATTCCCCCCACTAAGTCATTATTAGCACACACAGAAAAAAACTATTGACACAATTCCTATTAAATCTAAAAGATAGCTGTACTGAGTTAATAACAAATATTTGTACATTTTAGTTTGCATCTTTTTGCGAAACAGTACAAAAAACGAAGGAACGCAAAACCGTAAATAAGCAACTTATTGCAAAAAATCTGAGCTTGGCCTCACACTTTTGTGTTGTGGTAATGCCTGATCTGCAGTGCTGCTTGTGCACTGCATTGGGGCGGGTTGGGATAAAATGATGCAGCCATACATTTTATCGCAGTGCAGAATATTACAATGCACAAAAGTGTCACAACACTTTGCCATGCGCTGCGACACACGGTTTTAATTTAAAAAGAATTTTAAAAATCAGCGGTGTTTTGTAACAGTGCATGTGCATAAAACACACCTGAATATAGTGAACAGTGTTGCACATATAAGTTGGGGGGGGTCCTAACTATTTTGTTTTATTTTTTATTTCCTTTTTTTACATTACAATTAGGAGGACTTTGGGGAAATATCAGGGGCTTCATATTTCCCTTTTGTGATAAAATAAGAGATTGAGGTCTTCATTCTCCCTCTCTGCAGCCCCAGCACTCAGTGAACAGGAAGCACTCAGTACAGAGGCTTTCTGTTAATTCACAAACTCCCCACATATGAATAGACTGGAAGCCTCTGTACTGAGCTCTTCCTGTCCAAGATAGTGAAGATTTACTCTCCTCAGTTTATGAATTAACACTGGAGTGATCAGTACTGATCACTCCAATGTGTGTTCAGTGAAGGGAAGGACCGACAAGTATTTCACAAATTAGCTGATCCTCTGCTTGGCATCCTGAACCGCTCTGCCCCCTTCCTACCTGTCACTGCTGCTCCCTCCTTCCTGCAGGCGGAAGGAGGGGTTAGGGCTGATTGTGAATGAATAGCTGTTTATTTACACAGCTAATAATTTACACAAAAGAGTCAGAGAGATCATTCTGTTGCTATAGTGACCATAAGCTTACAGCAGAGGGATGAATGAAGCCAACGTAAGGCATACTGAGCTGGCCAGCTGGGAACCTTTTTGGTCCGCAGCAAGCCTTATGTTGGTGGCAAAGAAAAGGTTAAAGGGCAACTTGTACCAAAACCATTTTATGTGAATTTGTTGCAAAGTTTCGTACCTAGAGATGCTGCCTGTAACAGCATCTTCTGTTACAGGCTGACAGTGTTAAAACCACTACTTTGCAATTCACAGCAGTGTTGTCAGCCTTTCATTCAAGCTTCTTCACCTACCTTTGCAGCCCCCCCCTCCAGTCTTCCCACACGTCAAGGGTTAAATGCTTTTTTTTTTTCATAGGGCTTGTTTT